ACGGTAAAGTAGTTCTTGGTGGGGAGCATTGGAGTCTCTGAAGATTTTTAACGTCTTCTTAATTCTCCCTCTCCATCTACTTAGTAGCTCCAATTTCATTTCTCTCTCTCTGTCTCTCATTCTCTCTCTCTCTCTCTCTCTCTCTCCCTGTCTCTCAGATACACACATAAACATACACCCTGAGGGACATCTAAATAAATAGTTGTTGATATGTCATATGCTTGTAGAGTACAGTTTTCTGCTTGTAATTTCCATTTCTTTTTCTAGTAATATAGCCTGGAATGAGCCAGAGCCTCTCAGAATATTCCCTCTACTTTTAGCATTTTTAAAGGAAAATACCATTACAAAGTATTAAAATTTGCATTACGCATAACAGATCAGGCAAACACCAGAAGACAAAGCACAATAAAAACAGATTACTTCAAAGAATTCCATTCAACCTGTTTGTCTTACCTGAAAAAAATGCATAAGGCTGAAAATTAAAAAGAACTTCTATACACAAACTAAACTTTAGCTTCTGCCTTGGGCTTTACAATCTACTGAGTATGGGATACCATTTGTCCCGTGGAGTCTGTGCACAGGACTGTAAATTAGGAGGGTTTTCCATGTCATCTTGGTGAATGGGGGCCCCTCTAAACATATTTGCTCCAGAATCAGCTTTTTCTTAGTGTCAGATAGATTCTTTTCTGTATGTTTGATTCTTTTCCTTTATTTCTAGTCCTTTGGATCAATATCTTTTTAAGTAGGCAGAAAGAGAGAGGGTAAGAAATCCATCTTTTATAAGCAGCTAAGAAACGTGATCCAGTTTACTATCCTTTCATTATTTAAGAAAGACTGTCTCAACAGTTATTATTTTCCTGTTTTAAAAGAACAGAAGAAAGGAAAATTAGACATATATGTGTGAAACAAAGAACTGGTCATTTGAATGATGCATTACTAATTCTAATTAGTTTTGCTTTTCAGAGAAGAGATGAGTTACATCACCTTATTTTCAGAAGGGGTAACTTACTCAGTTTTAAAAAATAAAAAGAATATTGCATCCCTGCATTGTGATGTTCCACTGCAGCTCACACTCCCCCAGAGTGGAGGCCATATCATTACATCTCAGTAGGGTGTATAATGCTATGCACAGAGTAAAAAGTTAATAAATGGTTACTGAATGAATGAATGAAGCACTGTATCAAAAGGGCAGGTTTGAATAAGACAGTAAAGAAATGCACTCTGATAGGAGGTTTGCAAAGTGTGGATAAATGGCTGCTGAAATAGGAGTTGCACATTACCAGGGAAACATCCAAGTTTCTATTAAGGGATTAGACATTTTACATTTAATAGTCTGGTTATAAATCAAATGGCTCTGGAAAAACCATTATAATAGTGATATTTCTCCCCATATTTGTATTATTTCCTTTATTAATTTATTTATACACATTCTGCCTTGGTCCACAACAAATTTTAGTATGGGAGATTATAAATCCAGGGATAAGATTTATGCATAGAAATGCATGCCTTAAGTGCCCCATAGTTGCTAGAAGTGGATTCACATTTCAGCAGATTCATGCCATGAGACTCGCTGAATGAAAGGAGCTACTTTATCATTAAATTATAGTCCATTTATACAAGATTCCCCACCTGTCACTGTCACTTTTATAACCAGCTATTCATAAGATTTGCTATCAATTGTTCTTACATGATACAGTATGATAGGAACAGCTGAAAGCATAAATACACAAAGGTATTGACATTACTCAGATTATAATGTAATTAAGACCTCTGGATGCTGCCTTCTCATAAGTTAATATTTAGGAGTCCCCTAATTAATTCCTCACTCTACTGACAAAGCCAGTGTTGGAAGGGATATGAGGAAATGGGAACTCTTACCCATTACTATTGGGACTGTAAATTGGTATAAGCACACTGGAGATCAATTCAGTGACACCTAGTAAAGATGAAGGTCTTCATATCCCATAAGTCAGCATTTCCATTTCTGGATGTATACTTTCAAAGGACTGCTACACCTGTGCATAAGAATGCAATGCCTTACATAATGGAAGCAATCAAAATGTCTATTAAAAGGGCAATGACCAAAAATTGTATTCATTATATTCATAAAACATAATAATATACATTGGCTGAAAACAAATGTAATTTTATGCACTGTCGTGAATTTAAAAAAAACAATTTTAAGTGAATAATATGTGTTTTAGAATTATACTTGAAATAATATTTGTATAAATCAATAAAAATGAATAATTCTCTCTCATTCCATATAAATATATATTTGATTATATATGTACATATGTATATGTTTATATATGTGTCTATATAATTTTTAGGGACACATACTTTTGTAGTAAAACCAGAGGCAGACTAAGCATAAAGCTAATGAAATATTCCCAAAGCCAGTTCATCCCAGTCCTTGGTCCTTAGTCCTGCCCCAGACCTGTAGGCTTACATCTCACTCTATCTCCCATTTACAGACATGCCGTCTGGAGTACATTGCTGTTTCTCTGTTTTGTTTTGTTTTATAACAGGTAGCATTTCTTTTCTGTCACTTTATAGATTTAAATCAATTGGCAGTCTCCCTCTTTGTACTGAGAGAGACTATTTTGGTGAACCTTTTCAGTAATGAAAATTTGAGTCAAATATCTAACCATTAAATAATTAAATAACAGAGAAAGTTCTCAACAATGATGTAAAACTGAATGAACGACCTTCCAAAACAGCTGTGATATGTCCTGTCTAAAGGCCGTGGGAAGGGGTGACTGTGCAGAGATTAGAATGCAATTTTTTTCGATTTCCTTTTGGCTGAAACTGAAGACAGGGGATATAGAGGCTGTTCTTTCAGGGGGTGAAGGAGAAGCGAGACAGAGCATCCTGAGCACGTGAGCGTGCCCAGGCAGCAGAGCAGCAGAGCAGAGGCTCAGGGGAGAGAGGGCTAGTAGGGAGTTTCCTGGGAAGGGACAGGGCCATTGACCCTAGGTTTTCTGATATTCATTTTTAAGCCTCCTTCTTTGTACGGCAATCCCACTATGTAATCATCAGGCCTTGGGTTATGTCTGTTAGACACACCCGCTTTCTATTGTCTGTATTTCATGGAATCAAGGAGTGGACCAGAAAACTGCAGCCTGACGGCAAAGTGAAACTGATGCTGCTTGAAAAAGTCCAGGGCTTCGTGGCACAGGGCTGAGAAGATAGTGTGACCATTTTGAGCAATAAATGGGGGTCCTGGTTCTTCCGTAGAGGCAGCAGGTGTTAGGAGAGGCAACTGAGAGTACTGTGAAGGTGGGGTCGAATGGTAGCAGCAACAGCAGCAGGAGAGGAGGTGAGGCCAGCTAGTGGAGCAAGACCACCTGGCTGCATGGGTTCCTGTAATAGGACACTTGAAACATCAGAGAGGTCCATTAAGGAGGGTTTGTGAGCATCTCCTTGAGAAAGGCTGCGGAACAGAAAGCAGTGGAGAGAAGGTGAGACTTCAGGTTGGTATCTGCTGGGCCTTTAAAAAGAAAAAACAATGTTGGTGCTGTCTTTGGCAGGACAGAGGAAGATGTGAAGGAAGAAATGGGCAGTACCCACACTTCACCAAGTCAGATGGCCTGGAAAGTCTCCGTTGCAGGTTAAATGTTGGAAGATTCCATCAGTCATATGGCCATGTCCAAATACCTCAATGGTTGGCCTTGTATAGACCAAAGTATATGTTTAATTCACTTAGATTTGTATATTTATTTCAAAATTGGTGCTCTCTTGAAAGTAAAAATTAACTGGTCCATTATGACCATAATTTAAAATACCATGTTTGATAGTGTTAATAACTATTTTGTTTCTTTGGATTAAAGTTTTTCCAAAGGCCCATGACAAACATTAAGAAATTTAGAACACATACAATTTAATTTTAAAATACTAACGATATTTACACCTTTTCCGCCAAATGACAATTCAAATAACTGCAGCTCTTTTTAATCTCAAACATTTCAAAACAACAACGAGAAAAAGAAAGCTCTCCTTGCCAAATAAGGAGAACTCAAATTTTTGGCTATGTATAACTTGTGAGCTGACTTTATAACTTTTCATCACTATGTACGTCTTCTCAGGCCCCTGAACTATTTCAGTGTTGCTGATAATGCAGTATATCCTGCAAGTTCAACCTTTGCAAATCATGCCATCCAGGGCAACTGACTTGGTGAGCAAAATCTCCGTGGTCACCCGGTCAGCTCCACTGAGAAAAATGAGCTGTCTAGTCAAGGTTATGGTGTTTTCTTTTTGCCCAGAGTGTAAATGAAGTTAAATATAACCTGTACGTTTCGATTAACTTGGTGAGGTTATTGAAGGTTTATATTTTCAAATGCCTCTGATTAATCAAATTTACTTAAAAATGAAAATAAAGATTTATTTATGTATATAAATCGTGGGGAATACATTCTCTTCTTGTTTGTTTGTTAGAGGGAGAGACAGTGGGGAGAAATCTTGAAAGAAAAATAAGAATATTGATGTTCAAACATTTTCAAAATATAAGAAAATGTATTTGGAACTGTCAGAAACTTACACATGATAGAATGTTTTATCACAGTCTCTGACACAGGAGAGTCCTAGAAATTAGAATAATAGAATATTTCTGGTGTAATAGTGAATGCGAAAGAATATATTCCAAGAAATAGTTTTTTTACAAAACTGAGTGGAAACAAGACTCCTGAATTGAGCATTGTATATTTTCCTTTCTGGTTTTTATTATTTGTAAATTGTTTCTTCAGCCACCAAGTGATAACAACTGTTTCTGAGCAGTGTTTACCTTGGTGATAACTTCGTCTCCCCCCGTTGTTCAAAGAGATAAAATACAGCCCTCTGGATGTGGGCAAGGTGCTCCCTTCCTGTTATTCGTAAGCTGATATGAAGTAGACAGGCACCTTCTGAAGATTTCTGCATGCTGTGTTTTCTCTCCTCACTGCAACAAGAAAAGCCTTTTCTTTTAACCTGGCTGCCTTTGAAGAAGTGACTCAGACATCTTCATGGCCTCTAAAGGTAAGAGTAAACATAGGCAGCTAATAAATTTTTCCTTATATTATGACTAAAAATATACAGTTGTAGGGGTGTTACAATCAGTGAGATTGATACTTTAAAACCTGTCATTTATTGCTTTTGAACATCGGAATTTTTAAATTTTAACTCCAAGGAGCATGCTGCATTAAACGAAAAATAAACACTATCTGATAGAATGTAAAAGTTAAGATGTAAACAATGTTTTAGTTATCATGAGTATAAACATAGTGAATTAATAAGAAAAGTGGCAGAGCAAAATTTAGAGAGGGAATATTTAATGCCAAACACAAGGAGAAGTTGATATTCCAAAATTTGAAGAAAACTTTTCACACATAAGCTAAAAAGTGTTAAAGTATGGTTCAATATTTTTTAATTTCCCACTAGTAGTTTAAAACATGTGATATAGCCATTTATTATAAAGAATTCAGCATGTGTTATTAGTAAATCCTAGTAAATTTATTGGACTATAAGTAAATATTTCTGAACTATGAAGTAAAAATCTTTCAAAATTTCTTTGATAGTAAATTATATATAAAAAAGCAAACAGAAAATAACTAATTTAAGCAAGCAGATTAATTAAAGACTTTGGTGGGGGAACTGGTAACTTTTTCCTCAATTCCCTAAAACTGTATAAATATCATTAGTGCTGTCTTGCTTTAAAGATCTTCTCAAAAGACAAGGGATGTGGTTGTTTTCTAAGGTAATGAGTTGCAATCTCACTAAAAACACTTGTGAAATTATATTAAAAAAATAAAATTATAATGTGTTTTTATTCCATTATCAGAGCAAACTATTAAACTCTAGGCTATAATGGAAAGTTTTAGCTTGAAGAATTATGATTAGTATAATTGGTGGAAACCTTTTAACCTAATTACAAATAGGATAATAGAGTCCACCAATTTAAAATATCCTAAATTAAATTAATGACCCATTCAAAGAAACGTGTATGCTCATTTGCTTTCTTTATCAAAATACACTTTTGGATGTCATTTAATATGGAAAAATGAGGTAATCTTTTCATTTTTCATCAACACCTTATGTACACCAGTCCCTGAGTATCGTTGGGAAAGCTCAAACAAATTGTAAAATACAGACGTGAAACATCAAAATCATGAATTTTAATATATGTGTGCTTCATTTTTATATTTGAAGACAAACAAAAAAACCTTGACAAGTCTTTTCTTTCATTTAAGACTGAGCTAACAGCTAGTCCAAAACACTTCATCACTTTATAAAACAGGAGTTACAGCAACAACTGTAGCCTGTTAGGTAAAGAGTTGCAGAGAACGTGAAATATTTATAAGCTACTTATACATTTTTAAAAGAGTAGATAGAAATTCAAAGCCAGATAGAAATTCAAAGGAGTTCCTTCTTCATCTGGTGGTCTGAGTCCTTGAAGAAACTTGTGACTAGAAAGCAATATTATGATCAAAATATGATTAATGCACCAAAGAAGCAGTAATGTTCAGTAATGATAAGGATTCAAGACTAAACTTAGAGGTCAAACTTCAAGTGGAAAACTAACACTCCTTCTGCAACCTACTCAAAATATTTAACAGACGAAGTGGGTAAAACGTCTCCAAAAGAACTAGGCCACCTAAAAGAAGTGAAAATAAAGTTTCCTTTTGAATTAGAAATCTGGTGTGAGGGGGCAAGTCGGGTTACCTAAAACATTTTTGTGGGCAGTTTTCTTCAAATATATTTAAAGACATGATTTATAACATCGTGATGTTCTCTGGCCCTGAAACTGTTGGCAACTAGCATTTTCCGGGGGAATACAGGCTGTCTGGACATTTCACACATTTGGAAGGCAGTTCAATCAGCACCACTGAACCAAAGCACAGTCTGAACATTGGATGCCATTAGAACTGAAGAAATATTTGTGTGGGCTGGAGGGCCCTGTTTGTATAAATAAACACAATTTAAGAACAGGTTGTTCTCCAACTTTGTTTGAAGTTTGAGAAAAATGAGACTTTCCAGGATTGAACAGGAGTGATTTCCAAAGGCTGCTCCAATGTGAACTGAAATCCCAGAAAAGGAAGCAAGTAACCTCAGAATGTGAGTCCAACAGTCTCTGACTGCGACTCTACGCCTGAAAGGCATTGGACATGACCTGCTCTGGCCCCAAGTGCATGAATGCCTCTGTACCTGCTGTGAGTCTAGGGACCTAAAGGCCTGAGTCAGGAATGTAGAGCCACTTGCCAGACACTCAGTAATCTACTGCATTTTGCGAGAGCAAATACAGTTTACAAGATAAAATTGGAGTAATTTGCTAATCTTTTTAACAATAAAATTGACAAGAGAGAATCTAATAATCTTTTACCAGCTCTTATTTGAAATTGATCTCTACATGAGTTTTTTTTAAGTGAAGGATAACGTGTACAGTAAAGTGCAGAAAGAGCACCAAACTTAAGCTCCATGATTTTTTAAATCAGGATTCACTTGTGTAACCCACCAAGATCAAGATATGGAACATTTCTGGCACCTCATAAAGTTCCCTTTATGGTCAATAGCCGTGCACCTTCACCCCCCAGATGAACCACTATTCTGAATTTTATCATTATGAACTAGTTTTCCCTAGATCACGATTTTGCCTCTATGTTTCTCTGAAAGTCAATGACAACAGTGCTTTTGGCACTCATACTGAAGAAAGGATGTTAGCTGCATTTTATTACATTCAAGTTGATGTTGCTATATTGGCCATTAGTTTCTCTCCCAAATCTGAAATTGTGTTACATAGTCTTCCTCAGTTTACTGCCTGGGGCCCCCATTCAGGCCCCCTCTCAAGAACAAGAAGAGTTGTAAAGCCTGTGTGCCTGCTCAGATCTGAGAGAGGTTCAGGATGGGGTCCTTGTGGGAAGCAAACTGCTATCATATTGTCAATATGGAGCTCTGTTTTAGCAGGGTCAAATGACAAGTTTGTTTCCATGTGGTCCTAACCCTAAAGCACGTCCAAATTCTAAATGTCACAGACCAGAATAAACTTAGGAATCCATCTCGGTCCATTCCTATAGCCTTAGGGTTAAATAAATGAATGAATCATCTGGCAATTAGCACCACATGTACACCAACCTTAATAATCCTGTCAGTACTACAAACAGTTTATGTCAGAGTCCAAAGGACCACTCCTTCAAAGCCTATGTTCCTTCACCAGCTTTTTTTTAAATCCATCTCTAGGTGCTCATCCCGGCTATGTTTGAATACTCTTAATGATGGGGCACTTACTATCTCTAAAGGAAATTCAGTTCTTTTTTCAAATTTATTTTTTTAGAGATTTAAAATATTCAGAAGAATAACCTACACACACACACACTTGACATAAATATGGGTGTCAGCGCTGGAGAGATACCATTCTAATCTATTGTGAATTACATGGATGCATATGTTCAAGGAGTACTTTGTGCAGCTGTTGTAAATGTCTTCCTTACATTAATCCAGAACCAGTTTCCTTGTCCTTCCCATTCATTTGTCTTTAGAATAGTCTGAATTATTTGTCCTCACAATGGCCCCTTTATTATTTGAAAATGCCTGTCACAAACCTTGCTCCACACCTACACTCCATCTAAAACAGCATAGAGGTAGTCAACTAAATGAATGCACGTATGACAACTCTGATAATTTATGGATTAACAAAGATCAGAAGTAAAAACACTGATAGTATTTGAAAAAAATATTGATATCTAATGAAAGAGATATTGAAATGGCAGTCATGTGGGAAGAAAAAGGAAAATAATAGTAGAAAGGCTATAAATTTATATTTTTAACAAGAAGGTTTTGCATGCACCACTTATTAGGGCTTATGCGTAATATTACACAGGCTCCAGACTAATGCAGGGTAAATAGCAAATCTTCAAATTTCAATCTAAGAGATAACTGAAATAGTAACATTTTTACCTAGCAAGATTATAGAAAACAAGTGATTCTCTAAAAAAATCAAAGCCAAATATAGAATTCTGTAATTATTTTATCTTTTGTAATATTGGGTGAGCTACAAAGGGACTCATACTTGCAAAAACTTTTGGGTGCTTTTACATAAAATACTGAGAAATCAAAGCTAAATGGATATTATACTGCCCTTAAAAAGCCCATAAATTTGTTGTGAATATTCTCATATTATACAGAATTAAATCATTAGTTCTCAAAGTATATCCTTAGACCAACAGCATTGGCTTACCCGGGAACTTATTAGAAACGCAAATTCGCAAGCCCCACTCCAACCCCAATTACTGAATCAGAAACTCTGGAGTGGGGCCCAGCAATCTGTGTTTCAACAACCCCTCCAGGTGGTTCTGATGCAGGGTAAAGTACAAGAACCATTGAATTAAACCTAGCCATAGCAGTACGATTGACAAAAAGAGACAAAATATTCTCGGAAATTATAAGGCAGCCTCATAATATTTGGGGAAGGGAGAATATGCCTTGAAAGTCATAATTGTGATTCAAAACCTACGTCTAAGGTTATCCTGTTACGAGAAGAGAATATCTAGTTCCTTTTACCATTTATTTTCCTCTTCTAATTTACAATTTTTCAGCTTTTAAAACAGAAGTTTTACTTGCCTTCAAAAAATATGTTTTCTCAAATCATTTATTTTGCCCAATTATCCAACTTTTTCTGACAACTGCTACTAGCAGTCTTCCACATTCCTTTTTCTCTGGCTTAGGGGTCCAGTGGTGATGACTGTGAGTAGGGAAAATGAAAGATAGGGCACTAACGTGAGGGGCAGCAGGAGATACTCTACCCTCTGAATTAAGAAGTGACAAATCTTATAAGACAAACTACAGGCAATGCCCTAAATTTAAATACAGGCTGGGATTTTCATTCTCTTGCAGATGCACAGAACCAAAGAAGCAGAGATCTGGCTGGTTTTCTTCCTGGAGCTCCAGACCCAGACCACAGCCTTCAGGTCTCACCTCCCACTCCAGGGCACCAAGCGTGGCAGCCGGGTCTCCGTCCGCCAGGCAGTCTCCCTCCTGGTCTAGAACATTTAAGCCAGGTGTTTTTCTCTCTCTATTTCTACAAAAGTTTTCCACTTAAGATGAATACAAACTTGGCGTCTTGCTTTTCAACCAAGGTTGGAGGATTTCAATGAATAACTTACTGAAATAAGAAAAGCATTATAAATCATGAAATTATAAAATTTGTCTTTTATTTACTTCTTTATTACTTGGGAAGAAATTTATTTCTATTATAATCATTTCTATTTTCCTTATTTATATGACAGAGTGATGAGACTAAACATTTTTGATTGAGCCATTTAGCACATTTATCCTCCTTCTGCTCATTACTCAAGGTGTCAGCAAATTCATCCTCGAGGAATTGAATAATATGTCTAGTCACCTACAGCTATTGAATTAAAGAATATTTATTGAGTACTTGCTATAATCAAGGCATATAAAAAGCATAAAACTTAGTCCCTCTCACTCAAACATTCTGCAACCTAATTGGCAAAGACAAAAAATGTTGACGAAAAGTGCAAGGTTCTGTACTAAAGACAGATAAGCACTCAATTTAAATTTGTGCAGGTGTACAGAGGAGAGAAAGGGTGTTAAGGATCAAAGTTCTCAGGAGAGACTTCCACAATGAGCCGAGAGTTCAATGTCTTTGACTGAATCTCAAAAGACGGATAGAAATCCAAGAGAAAGCAAGTTATCAAGTTAGCATTTCTGTCCTCTGATACTGTTGCATCTCCAGGCCAGTCTGCTTGAAAGATCATATTATTATTATTAGATATAGTCACTGTTCTAGTCATTGGAGAGCAAGCGGTGATTTAAGCCTTAAAATAAATCAATCAAGAAATATCATCATCTAACTCATATGGCACATAAATAGCTATTGATATTTATGTATATTATAGTTGTTTTTGTATTTTATCTTACGAAAGATTAGAAATACACTAATATTGAGATGTCAGCACATCTGCTGCAATTTTCAGCTTGTTTGGCATTCTTTCAAAATATAAAGTCTATCTCCTTTATCAAAATCAAATCTCTGTGTTAATTCCCTTAAGGTACAAGAGATTTCTGTTATGCCTGATAGGGTTTAAGCTGCATGCAGCATATGTTCCTGGGAAAATGTTTATAATTGCAGATGCCTTCTCCAGAAACCCACTGGCAGACAAATGTACTTTAGAGACTGGAGAGCTCAGGGAGATATGTAAAAGAGCTGTAAGAGCTAACCCACCATCTTCCATCTGCAGAAAGGATCAGCTGTAATAGCTGCCTAGAGTTGATTAACTGCTGCAAGCTGTTTGGGAATGTTGTCAGACAAGGTTTTGCCAAGTATAAAAGTGATATACCAGTGCCAGAGGGCTGAGGTTTGATGATCACATATGGTCATCACATCTTCCTTTTCCATCCATGAGTGATGACACACCCGGAGCCAGATGCTTGACATGAATACATTGTTTCTGCATTCAAGAAATAGAGATATGAACCCACTGGCTTCACTTCCAAAATGAAGTCAATTCCCAAAAATATACCTTCGGTAATCTTTTTCAGAAAACAAAAATATGCCACAAATTGTTGAATATTTTACTTCAAAGGGAAAGATAATTTATACTCTCTATAGTAAAAGAACACATTTGCTTTAAAGCAGTGCACATATAATAGGACGAATGAGCATTTTAAAAGTTTTATACCATGAGTCAGTAAGAGACATATGTAAAATGAATTTTTATATGTTAACTTTTATCTAAAAAACATAAGAATTAAATAAAATTATGAATATTTGGAAATAGTACATTCTTCAACAAATAAACAGAAAAATATACAATAGAAATTCTTCTAAATTAAAAAAATTAAAGTAAAATTTTAAAAAATCATTTATTCTCTTCTAATCAAGTCCATCCAATGACTATTGAAAATCTTGTTTTCATTAACAATTTAAAAGTAAACTCCCAGGTATGTATATAAATATATATATATACACACACATATGATGTTTTTACAGACATAAATGTATATACATATATATGTATATATGTATATACATATGTGTTGTTTATGTAGGTTACACCTAAGAACAAAACTAATACATTCTCTTTCCAGATTGGATTAACATGTTCATAATAGTCAATAACATTTTATCCTATAGGTGTCAAAGGATAATTATTATAATTTAGTCACCTATAGTTAAGAGTAGTGAGTTAAAGCATACAAAGACACATGTAAAGATCCAATTTATTTTGAAGTACGTATATTAAATGGAATCACTGATACCTGTAAACCTGATATATTATATGTAAGAATTGATTCTTAGGCTATGGATCCAAGGCTGTCGTTGGATTTCCATTCTATAGCTTTCATACTTGAGTGCTTTACCTGTCCTGGCACCTGAATATATGATTTAATCTGTTTAAAGTTTCCAACAATTCCTAGTCCATCAGTTAATAGCAAAGGATGGAAAGGGCTCTTTTGGACCATAGTTTATAAGTGGCCCAGGGCTATTTAAAAGAAACTACAAGAACAACCAAAAACAAGACCCTCAAATCCAGGAGGTTTGCCCACAGAGATAGATCATATCAAATGTTCTTACAGAGGATGGGGTGAGTATAAGACCAGAGAAAATGGGGAGGAAAGGTATTCAGAAGTCCCATGGTGTCACTTAAGAATTGTCTCTCCCAGTTCCTAAGATTAGTTTAGTGAGGCTGGTACACAGAGTAGAAAGCATGTCAAAATTGGCGGCAATATGGCCTGGGTTCCAGTCCTGGCCGAACAATTTACAAGCTCTGTGATCTTGAGCAAGCTACTTAATCTCTCTAGGATTATTTCCTCATATGTAAAATGTAATGATGTCTATCTTTCTGAGTTTTGTGAGGATTCAGTCAGACTCCACGTCAAAATATCTAGCACTAGTCACTACGTGACTACCTCACGTAGTCATTAAATAAACAACTGCGATTACTAGATATTAGAAAGGCACAACTTACCTTGTCATTGTGGAATGCATCTCAACTGAAAGTCACTAAATTTCAAGACTAAAAGTTGATCCATGACACTGATATTCAAAGTTCCTAAACGCAAACCTTGGGCTTCCCCCACGGTTCTTCTCCATCCCTAAGTTCCTTCTACATAGATCCACTGCCAAATAATCGTGGATATCCTTTTTGAGGCTGACCTCTCCTCTTCCCACAACCCTTCATTTTCCTCAAAAGAGGAGAACAGAACTAACAATAGCACACTGGAAAAACTGATTCTAGTTTTTTTAAAGCTTTTGCCATACTTGTTAAAATAGGTTTTAGAATATCTTAAATCATAAATTGTTTTTGGAAAAATGCTTTTCGTGAATCTTAAAAAAAAGAGGCCACATGCACTCTTTTATCATTAATAAGATTTAAATAGAGGAAATGATATTAGTTTTACCTCCACCTCAGAATATACAAGGAGAAGGAAGGAAATAATACAACTTCAAATTTCCTGGGCCTGTGATGCCAAATCAATACCACATATTGGTCATGAATACTTCGGTTTAACAGTTCCCAGTAAGTTTAGTACTGTGACGGGAGAACAATGTGAAGAGAACTTTGAGGGGAAACAGAATGAAGCGTTAGAAAAGACAATGATCGCACTGTATTCAGTGCTCATGACTTGACCTGAGTGGATCTTCGAGTACTGAATACCAAATTTAAAATATACACAGAGAAAATTCATTCTAAGAACACATTTTTAATATTTCCTTTACAAAAACAATTTGCGATGTATACTTTTTGATACAGTCATTTCTCAACTATCTGTGGATACTTTATCTCTGTAAATTAACTTTATTTTTAATTCTATAAAGCAAATTTTATGATGTCAGGCATTTAGTGGCATAACTCTTATTCTGCTTAAACTGGTATTTTGTTGGCATCAGCAGGATTTCCGGGGTTTTTTTCTAGTCCAAAGGAAGGTGTGAATGCGAAAAACTTATAGAATAACCTCTTTGAGCTTCAACAAAGACATTCCATCACGGTGAGGAGTGAGTTGCAGCACTGTCGACAAGTGAAAGTGGAGTTAGGCTGGGCTAAGAGGACAGGCCAGGCACTCAGGTCATTGTTGTTTTGTTTCCTTTCGTAAAAAAATAAAATGAGCATTTTAAAACCTCTTAGGCATTATTATTCAGAGATTGTTTAAAAATCTTCTCCAAGTCTTGTTTCTGGGTGCTACATTTTTATCCCATTACCACAGAAAGAACACAGAGTTCACCACAAATCCTATTATTATTCTGGGAATTCTACTTTGGAATTTTTAGGGTTTTTGTCCTTTTTAATATTTACTTGAATAAAAAAACATGTCATCATCTTTTTCATATAAAATGTGAGCTGTTTTCAACCCTAATAGAGAACATGGAAATCACCTAATTGCACATGATCTAGTAAACAGGTCCATACTAATATTTCCAAAGGTTTTCCAAGAGCTGTGATGTAATACTTTTTCTTTCCTTTTTCTCATCCTTTAACAGTTAGACCTGATAATTATACATCAGCAAGTGGAGCTTCTTGGAAGTAAGTATATGATATTCTGTACTTAATAAAACTGTTGAAAATACTTTAGGTTCAGCAGTTTCTCTACATCTAGATATTTTATCGACAATAAAGTTAAATGTTTAGGATAGAATTAGATCAAAAAGAGCACTAGGTCTATTTTTTTAAATAAATGTTCAAAGTAAAATTATTAGTCTGATATAAATAAACCCAAAAGTATACATCTCTCCAAGTCTTTGAGGATATTGTCATTAGGAATCTAACATTATTTTTAATCTTGAAATAATAAAAGATATTTGATCATTTCCATGGTTGATAATAATTTAAATTTTCTTAATAATTCCAGAAATGGAAATCAAGGCTGAGACTAAAAACCTAAAACCCGTCAAAACAAAATTCCACTGTTTTATCATTTCATCAACGATTTATCAGACAGGCAAATTATTTAACAATACACAAATTTACAATGATGACTAACTGAAGACAAATTACTTGAGTACTTTTTGTCCTTAATATTCTATGTTATTCCTAAAGTGTCAAAATTGCAATAAATAGATAGCAGGATAGCATGCAGCTGTAGCTACATTACCAGATAGAGACTTTGGACAGAATCATTACTATCAGTGTGAGTTGTCCCAGGAAATCCCATAACAGTGACAGAATTATTCTTTGAGGGCTAGATTCCTCTTTACAGCATTGCCTCCTTGGTTGAAAAGTAGTAATACATGTTTCCAAGTAGGCCATATACCTGGAATCAACATTTATTAATCTCACAGCTTTGTTCTCAGAATTTATTTTGATTTCCATGGCCAAGCTCTCAAATTTTAGAGCACAGAAGTAGATTTGTGTAAAGAGGAGACCATATAATTAATAATTAATCAGTCACTCTGTTTTCTTTTAATAACACTACCCCTTTTAGTTACTTAAAGGTTTTGGTACTAAGCAACAGCATTATTTTGATGAATTTTTTTTTTGTGCCATTAGTGATACTTGGGACTGAGACCTCCAACAAATATGAGATCAAAAACAGCTTGGGACAAAGAATTTACTTTGCAGTGGAAGAAAGCATCTGCTTCAATCGTACTTTCTGCTCCACACTGCGCGCTTGCACTCTGAAGGTCATAGACAACTCTGGTCGGGAGGTGATGACAGTAAACAGGCCCCTGAGGTGTAGCAGCTGCTGGTGCCCTTGCTCCCTACAAGAGGTCCGCCATTGCTTTGAGTCTGCTTTTTTCCCCACATTGGAAATGATTAGCAATGATTTCTTTAATAAATAGCATTCCTCTGAATCTGTGGGGCAATTAACCTTTCAATTGTTTGAATTAGTACATTGCTCCTTTAGAATCAGAATAGCTTGAGGATTCAGTGAGTCACTAAGTTTTTTTCCTTTCCAACCAAAAACTATAGTGGCTTCCCTGATGTTAACTGGTCAAGACAGCTCATTCATCATGCAAATGAGGCACATCCTCCTGAATCTCTATGTTAGCCATGTAATTGTAATATCTATAGGTTCCACCATTAAGCAATTCTACCCCTCGTCTTCTCTAACTGGAGCACAGTTCAGGAAGTGCTGAGTGATACTGAACTCTTCCATGGGGTTCTCTTGGTTAGTCTGTATTTTTAGTACTGAATCTCACACTCCATTCGTCCATTTATGACAAACTTCAAGGTTTGGCAAAGACAATGCTATTGTCCTAGAGGAAATCATTCAATTATATTATTTTAATACATAATAGATTTTCGTCACTGTTTAATGGACCTATAACAATGACTTACACTGACATAATGCAGTTAAGTTGATACAGAACATTTACTTTGATGTCTTTGACATCATGGCATCTCTATGAGCTAGAAAGAATAGGTTCTACTCTCCACATTTTGCAAGAGGAAACTGGAGCTTAGAGAGTGGAAGCAACTTACCTGTGATCACACATCCGGGAAACGTCAAAAATGGGACTTGATCCAGGTGTCCTTAATACAGCCCTACTGAGCACCCACGTAGAAGTCCTCTCCCTAGCACAATGGGAAATAAATGTTAATATGGAAGGAGGTTAATTTAAATCAATCATTTTCAAAGTGATCACAGAACAAATCTATATAATTCTAAGCAGTCTTATTGAAACCACCTTTGCCTATCCAAGAACACTCCAGACATGCCCTTAAGACTATGAACTTAATACATAAAATAAATAAGAAAAGACAAAATAAGATCAGATGATGGAGAGTTGGATTGATTTAAAAGCAAACAATTTTCATTATTTGCACCCACCTCCAGCTTATTTTACAAAGCATTTGATTTGACTACATAAATTCGTTGAAATACAATATGATGGAAAATAAAGAAATTAGGAGAATGAAGGATAATGGAGTAAAATCTAAAGTAAAGCCTGAAAATGCAATTGCTAGTTGTTAACACTTTGGAAGAAGTGAACCAGAAATCACACTAGTGTGTAATAACTGTAACTCTGCAAGAAGTATTTGTTTTTAATTGAACACACAGAAGCTGGAAGTTGACAATCCGAAGAGAAAAACATTCATGAATACTTAATAATTGGTAAATGAGGCTTAAAAATAGATGTGTGTTGGTGGCAACAACTGAGAGAGAGTAGATATGAGGTCCCTGAAGAGAAGCAGCTTCAAGACCTGACCAACTGTCATGCTTGGAACAAAAACGGCAGAGGCCAGTGCCCCAGGGTCAGAGCGGAGTTCTGGGATGGGTTCTCTGGAGGGAAGTAAGATCGAAGACATGGAATTTTACTGTGTAGACCCAAACATATATCTATACAGTGAATTTCTTTGTTTCTATAAAATATGAAAAAAAAAACACCACTGCTTTTCTTCCTTAGAAGCATATATTTAGAATGATTTGTAGAATACGGAAATAATTTCATAACAGCATGCTACTTAGAAGTAAATTGTCATTATAGTAAAATTAAAATACAATAACCTTAGAAAATCTTATTTTATTATTATCTCTTCTTATAGTTAGAAATCCAAGCTCCTCCTGGTACTATAGTTGGTTATGTTACACAGAAGTGGGATCCCTTTCTGCCTAAATTCACAATCCAAAATGCAAACAAAGAAGATGTTTTGAAAATTGTTGGTCCTTGTGCAACATGTGGCTGTTTTGGTGATGTGGATTTTGAGGTATGATTAACAACATTAAGGAAGTTTTCACGTAGGTCCTGACTTTTTGCAACATAATTCAATTTTTTAAATGTGCAAATGAAATATCTCTGAAATAAATTTAGAAAATAATATATTTGTGAAGTAATGTAATAAGCCCATATTGTACATGCCAATAATAACTCATAATTCCAGAGATAACAAAGTCCAAGAACTTACTTAAAACCTTACTACAAAAATTTGATGTGTGTGGAATTACAACACCCATGGTATAAAGCAAACATATATACTTTAGAATTGCCTAAATTATTTCTTCTTTCCTACAGCCCTGATGGTAATATATCCCAGTTCAGATCTCATCTCAGAAGCACACTCCATTAAAATATCACTAATTTAAAAGCTATGTTCACAGGACTTGGTAACTTTGTTTTGTAAAACAATCTGCTCTCATATAAACATATCTGTATAAATTGAATGTCCCCCAAAAAAATAGGTAGTTGCAAATTCAATCTGTATCAATATGAACTATCTCAACAGCTTTTCCTAGAAATACATCTTAGACAGAGGAGATGGTCTAATTTAAAGTGTATATTTATTTTTCATTCATTCATGTATATCCCACCTAAGACATTCAGTTTGTGGGAGTTTAGGGAACACTATTCACATAAAACACAACATAAATTTTGCAAAATGAGCTGTCCTAACTCCACCCCACTCGGAAAGGACTTGGCCTGGCTTTCCTAAGAGTAAAGTATGAAAATATGCCCTATGATTGAGGAGAACTTAAACATAAGAATTTTAGTATTCATTGTATAGGGATGTCCCAAGTAACTTTCTCTATTTTCTATATTCTACTGCCATACATAAAGTGAAAGTTTACATTGAATCACTTTCAGCCTTTGAATGGGAAACAGGTCAAGCAAATAAATAGTTGATAAAGTTTAACTATAGACTCCTAGCTGAGAAGGACTATAGACTTTTGATGTCAAATTAGTCTGAATTTCCTGTGTGGTACATTAGGGCTTTTTTAATACAAAAATAGGATTTAGGTTTAGTTATAAAGGAATGATCTAGTAAATGTCTGAGTATAATATAAAAATGAGATTAAGCAATGCCTGATAATATTTAAATTTTTTTGTAATTATAAAATCTTAGCAATAAAAATTTAAAAGTTAACAAATTGTACCTAGAAATGAAGTTAATTCCTTCTAAAATCTTTCTCAAACATATTTTCTTTTTCTTTTTCTTTTTTCAATCAAGAATTCAGGTTTAAAATCTGGAGCTCAGGTAAAGGAATTACCTTTATGATTAGACCATATAATTGAGACTATGTACCTGCTGCCATCTTGTGGTAGCCAGGCCTTAATTATTTATTGCTATTATATTTTCCTTCTGCATACAAAAAGCAAAGAAAAAAAAGAATTATGTTGGATTACAAAACTGTCAGAAAAGCAAAATTCCTGAAGAGTGAACTGGAAAGTTAAATCTACAAACCTGTGTTTATATACAGGAATGAATAACACTGAATTGTCATTTAGAGATGATGAATAAAATAATTCATCTCTCTCATGAAGTCAACATACAAAGAAATGTAAAACCATCTGTTTCACCTTCAAATGTAACATTTTCTTTTCGAAGGTGAAGACCATTAATGAGAAGCTCACAATCGGGAAGATTTCAAAGTACTGGTCAGGATTTGTAAACGACGTCTTCACCAACGCTGACAACTTTGGAATTCACGTTCCTGTGGATCTGGATGTGACGGTCAAAGCCGCCATGATTGGTGCTTGTTTCCTCTTTGTAAGTAGGGTCTTAAGGAGCGTAGGGGATTTACGTCTCTCCTTTTTGCTTGTCAATTACTACAGCACCAACTCCATTTTACACAGCGTTTACCCCAAAGAGGAAGTTATATGCATAGAAGGCTGGTTGGGGACCAACAGTCTTCAGAAGTCAGAATGTAGGAGCTTTCATTTCCATCAGACAGCCGTTCTTCAGTGGTCCTCATACCCCCTCTTCCGCAGGGATTGATGCCCCACCGCATCCTACACATCGTTTCTTCAAAATCTGAGCTACCCTTCTCTTTCAACTTCCATTTAGATTTTTGGCTCATTTTCACTTTCACTGAAAAATGTGTAAACATAAATATCACATTATTTATCCTGGGTAAAGTTCAGGACTGTTTCATTGTTTAACAAAGAGCCAGGCAATATTCAGAGTGTGAGAAGTGCAGTTTTCTTGCCCTTCCAAATGTGCAATGACAGGGATGAGTTAATATGTACCAGTTTCTATTATTACAAAGATATTATGTCTTTGTTCTTTCTTTCCAACTTACAATTGCATTAAAAACAGTTTTTTCTTTGGTGCAGAGATTGGTGATAGAATAGAAGTTAGGTAATACTTGTGCCAAATGCTCGGCCATCTCCTTCCTGTTCCTGATGTCCCCCCTGGATCTCCCTTACTGCTTATCATTCTCAATGCACCCCACAAAAACCCATGGAATTTTAAAATAAACCTACATTCTACCTCTCATATTTTGTAGTTCTTCAGCGCCTTAGAATCCAATCTTATGGTTATATTAATGTGTGCTGCTGTGGCGGGGAGAAATTGGCCCTATTTATTCAGTCTCATCTAAAGACACTTGGGAAATATATTAACTAAAAATAATTCCCTGGTGACATCACTGACAGGTACTTAGAGTTTAAATAAAAATATACATATTAGGATTATTTCTCCAGGAGCTTTAGAGGAATTATTTTAATGTATTGATTCCCTATCATTGGTGGGAGGTAGAATTAATATATGTAGAGTGCTAGGTTTTTATACTTACTAAGTTGTCACTTACCCTCAATTCCCATTTTCATCTACAAATCTAACCAAGTCTGGTCAGTCTTGCTGGTCACCTAATATTTCTTCACTTCCCTATTCTCCTCTATCCACTTGACGGGCTTTTAATTTGCTGCCTCCTGCTCCATTTCTCCATTTTTGATCATTCTGCACTTCAACACCAATCCCTCCAAACATGCACTTACACACACCCTTTTCCCAAAAGCTGAATTTGGCCCTTCGGATTAAGCCCCATACTCAATGTTTATATTAAAAAACAGATTATCTTTCATCTACTCTACTCACCTGTTTTTTGTAACAGGCTGATGGCAAATATGTACTGTCAACAATTCCCTACGCACTGTAAATCGGAGAAGCACTGATCTAGATAACACCCAATCATCTGTTAAAAGAAAACTCTTTAATTCCCATGTCTGAGGGAGAAATATACTCACTGAGAATATCTAATGACTCCCATCCGTTTCATTTTTTTCCTTTTCACCATAATATTATAAAACATTGGCACTATTTTTTGCAAATATAGCTTTTAAAACAATTCCTCACATGTATTACCATGATAAATTACTTACTTCTATATATAATTTGATAGGAAGAATTATGTTTTTAATTTTTAAATACTCTCCATTTTATTACCTCGTGGTGAGAGACCTTCAGAAAGGTGCCAGTGTGAGGATGTTCCTCGATCCAAACAGCAAAATTCCCAAGTACAGCCTAAGTTTTGGTCTCCTCTGATTCCAGGCCACCACTCCACAACCCCAGCTCTAATCCCCTCCCAAGTTCTCTCTGGTACAGTTCTCAGTACTTACTCGGAGGACTACCTGGTACTGACCACATGGTCCATTATGATATATCTAACGCCTGTTCAAAGGTCATTGTCCATTACGACTTCCTGCACTGACCCAGAATGCCCTACAATCTAACTCGGCAAAGTCTTGATCACGCAAAATTTTGACTGATGATACCATGCTGATTCAGACAAGGTTTTCAAGTTATGTGTGCTCTGAAAATTAGACATGTAAGTGTCATGAAGCTTAAAACCTTTTGATTTTTCTCCTAGTGATACATCACATGTTGCTGGAATACCACTGGGAAAAATTAATTGCTTCATATAACCAAAGCTTACATGTGAGACTCTTGATCTCACTTGTTGCCTTGTTGTAAATTCACTCATGTTCAGTTTATTTATTTGTAGGATTTTATGTTCTTTGAACATTCACTGGCTGGACTATAACAAGCAAGATGACAAAAACCATAAAATACGCAGAACACATTTCAGTAAGTAAAAGGCGAGTTTAAATGATCTCTTCCCCTTTGAAGATGTCTATATTTGATGCTGTCTAATTCTTTTTCATTTTCTTCTAGAAATCCCTTGGGATCTGGATTTCATTTCTGAATGGTTTGAGTATTTGCTTTTTTGTAACAAAATGTTAATTATTATATTTATTAAAGCATAGTGTAATGAAGCAATTATCCAGTTGTGAATGCATAATAGTGAAAGACAAGATTACTGGCCCAGCACAACGTTGATTTGAGAGATTACCATTCTCTCTTCTTATCCTTTTGAAGTTATTGCATGGGTAAGCATGAAAGATGAGACTAAAGCTTGCAGCATCAGTGATGAAAATTCAATGTTTAGAGAGCACTTTGAAGTTTTTCTGATACTAAGGCTGGTTACTAATCAAAAGGACTGGATTTCTAAAATATTTTTTCGTAAGTAGTCTTTTTTAATTTGTTTATTAATCTTCTTATTGTAGTGAGACATTTTTACTTTACATTAGAAAAGCTAAAAGTTGGGTAAATAATACGTTTAAAGATGAAACGGAAGATAGATCAAATTAATTCGTTCTAGTGGCAAAAGGCAGACTTAGGTTCCATAAGAAGGCTAATATTTACAAACCAAAGTATGCTTTAAATGCATACCCATGCTAGAGATTTAAATAAGCATAAAAATAGGATTCTAAGTTAGTAAAATCGGTGGTATGGAGCAGAAACTTTTTTCTATTTGCAGAGAAAATTCAGTCAAAAAATGAATCTAATATTATAAGCCAATATGACCTCAATAAAATAATGGGGGAAAAAAGGAATCTAAGGCTCTGAAAAATGGACCATTCCAGGACGTAGAAACAAGCAAACAAAAACAAACAACAAAGCCTTCATCCCTGAGGCAAACGCAGAAGCCCAGGGAGCACAGTCAAGTCAATGCATTAATGCCTTCCACTTGAATGTTTTCTGAGACCTCCAGATTACTACGTCTAGTTATCCACACTTTTCCAAGGCCCGCACAAGAGGAACATTTCTTTTTTATGAATGACAACAGTTCTTCTCCCCTTTTCAAAATGAGGAAACAAATTTGTTTTAAGCAAAGCACCACGTGGCCATTTAGGCTCTCCTTTAGAATTACACAAACACTTTCCAAATGTCCACGCACACGTCAAGGTGTTTAGAGGAACTCCAGTCCATCCCCCACCTAGTAAAGGGAATGCGTTCCAAGCATCTGTTACTAAGTGAATTGTTTGGAGTTAGGAATCCATCATCTAGAAATAACATTATATGTGGTAGTTAAGTTCCCCAAATAGCCCACAAATATCACTTTAGTTTTGGTTCTGGGTAAGAGCTTTATGTTGCATAAGATGGAAAGGAAAAGGGTCTCCTTTTCTGAGAGCCCCCTCCTTTGGCAGGCAGCAACTATGCATTGCCTCAATAAACCATCAAAGATCTACTGGTGGGGCAGAACAGTTTAAGCACTAACCACCAAAAAATAACCATGTTTGAAAAGCACACACTACCAGGGCTGGCCCAGTGGCTTAGCAGTTAAGTGTGCATGCTCCGCTGTGGCGACCCGTGGTTCGTAGGTTGAGATCCCGATCATGCACCAATGCACCGCTTGTCAAGCCATGCTGTGGCGGCATCCCACATCAAGTAGAGGAAGATGGGCACAGATGTTAGCCCAGGGTCAATCTTCCTCAGTAAAAAGAGGAGGATTGGCAACAGATGTTAGCTCAGGGCTGATCTTCCTCACAAAAAAAAAAAAAATCACACACTACCTTTCTCCTAGTCATCTCATCCATTCCTTCAGTGTAGCCGGTATCACCCGCGTTTTGGGAGCAGGGCAGTCATGGCAGGGACGAAAAGTCCTGTGTGTGACAGACATCACCTTGAGTCTAGCCTGCAGTGCGCTAGCCATGCAGCTGTACACCTACCATGGAGTCTTCCTGAACCTCCTCACGTTGCCCATTTGTCACCTGGCAAGCTGCTAAGTAAGGTAGGGGCATTTGATTTGGTCAGAGGGTGAAGGAGTGGTGGTGGATTTAATATATGAAGAATAAGTAGGAGCAGAAGGAAGAATGTTTTAGGCTGAGGTACTAACGTTCACAGAAGTTCTGTGATGGAGGAAGAGGAGGACATGACAATCTCAAGTGACAATCTTCAAGAAGACTAGTGACTAAAATTCAGACAGTGAGATGGAATATGGTACAAGATGAGGATGAATGGGGCCTGTAGGCCATGTTAAAGATTTTAGATCCTGTCCTATTGGCAAAGCATCTGATAAAAGTTTATAAGGAAAGAGTTGGCTGATTAAAGATTAGATTGGTGAGAGGGCTGGAGAGGATGCTCATGAACCAATTAGTAGGTTACTAAAGTAGTTTAGGTGACAGCTAATGGTATCTTGGATTAATGTGGCACTCATGTAAAGGGAGAGAAGTGAGCAGATTCAAAATGTATTTAGGAGGTAACATCACCATTACTTGACGCTGGGTTGAAAACGGAGATTCAAGGGAGAAGGGGGATTTCTGGCCTGTGCCATTTACTAACAGAGAGAACAGTAGAAGGGGATCTGGCTTGGGAGTAAAGAGCATGGATTCGGTTTTAAACATATAGAATTTATAATACCTTTGAATCTTGCAAGAGGAGACGTCAAATAGGCAACTGGGCGTCTTCTCATCTAGCGTATTTCTGAAGAAAGAGATGAGTTTACGAGAACCATACGGACCCACAGAAATCTGAATAATCTCTGGTTTACTTCAAGGACGTCCCTAGCAAATACAAAACATGCATGGACAGTGAATTCATTCATTCATTTATTTAACTAATATTTCATGTAATTACTTGTAGGTACCAGGCACTATTTTAGGCCGTGAGGATATTATGCTAAGTGGCAATTATTCCTACTCTAAAAGATGCATTCAACAAATATTTGTGACATTCATATGTGCTAGGTGCCTCTGTCAGCATGAAGTCCCATCAGTGAACAAAGCAGCAAGGGACCTGCCCTCTTGGAGCTTACATTCTAATACAGATGGATGATAAACAAACAGGTAACAAAGATATCCTGTAATCACAGGTGATCATAAATACTGATAAAGAGTCTGTTACTCAATATCTAAAATAATGAGCTGAATTTACTGCTTGCTCAGGCAAGGGAGATCTGAGCTTGTAAGTTTATAAGCAAAAAAGAGAGCTCATACAGGCTTTTGGAAAAGTGTGGAGTTTAGAAGCTGGCGTGTTGACTTTAGCTATGGAAACATGCTGAGCCGAGTAAGACTTGCTGACTGGCTGACTCGCAGAGATCTGTTCCCTGGACTGAAGCTTCTGCCGCTGATCCAGTTTTCTAAAGTTGATGGCAGGGGTGTTACTGATTTTCCTTCAGAAGTGCCTGCATTTTTGTCATCGATCACTGAGTGATTAAACACATTTAATCCTGGTTTTGATTGTGACTCACTGCTATGATGAACGAACCACCGGTTTTTTCCTAGGAGAGTGAGAACTTTATATTCCCAAAACCATGAAGAAAATAATTCAGAATAAGGAAATGACAGAAAGGAAGCTGCTGTTGCGTTTGAGCAGAGAAAGGAAAAAAGGCAGCAATTCATCAGAATTTGGGGGGAAAGAGAGTTCCAGGCGGATGGCAAAGCAAGAGCAGGGGCTCTGCGTGAGGAGCCTGCTGGGCAAGTTTGAGAAACAAAAGAAGCCTGTGCAACTGGAGTCCAGTAAACAAGAGGGAGAGAGGTGTGAGACGCAGTGGGAAGAGCGGCCGGGGCCTAGATCATAGTCTTGCGTGGCAAGGTCTGGAAGAGAATTGACGAAACCTGGTATTTGGTTGGATGTGGGATACAAGGGATATTAAGAACTCAAGGGTAAAGCCCCAGTTTCTCTCCAGCCCGTTTCCATTGTGGGAAACTGAAGGTATGGCCGTGCCACTCAGCAAAACAGGTGCAATTCAGTGTTACAGGTGCTGTGATGAAAGAATGTACCTGAAGGCACAAAAAGAGGAAGCATTTAGGGTGGGAGGTTAGAACCTTAGAGAGTAAAATAACACATGAGATGAGATTGTGTCCTTGCAGCCAGATGGGGTCAAAGCCAGGACACGTAGACCTGGGAGAAAATTCCAAGCCAAGAGCACAGCACAAAGGCATTGAAGTGAGAACCATGATAGTTTTTCACCAAGAATGAAGAGGCCACAGGAGTATAGGATGTGCCTAGTGAGTGCAGACTTCTCTTGGGCAACGAGGCTGTGCCTTCCCACTGCACTGTGCGCAGGTGTCCTCCAAGGTGCAGTGCCAAATCATGATTCAAAGCAGAGCTTCTTCTCTTGGCCATATGGACTTGCTCTGTACTTGACCAACGTATCCCCTGAGGGCTTTGGAAATTATTTAGAAACTAGATTGAACTCAGAAACTGAGTCTGAGTGAACCCACAGATACTGGGGGAAAAAAAAACAAAAAAAAACCCTTGAATATCCTTCTCTATCCACACTGTTCTGGAGGAAAGATACTAAAACTCATTTGGTAAATCACCTATATTTCCCTACAAAAGAGAGGTTTTGAGAGGTGATTTGAAGAATCAGAGCATAGCCCAGAAAGCAGATGCAGCAGTTCACTAAAAGCTAAAATTTGTATTCATTTGAACCTTAATTAGAGGTTTATATACATTTATTTTAGATTTGTTGTTTTTTATCAAAATGAGAATAAACATAGAAAATAAAATTTTAATACTTCAGAATTTACTCTTATCTTATTTTTACAGTTCTGTCATACTTTCTTTAATTGTTAAAAGTAGAGTGAAAAGACATTATTGTTTATAATATTTTGAGCTCTCAAATTGAGCAATTTTTCCTTTATATAAACTTTGATTTTTTCCCTTTATTCTAATATTTTGTTTTGGAAACTGTGGATTATCTTAAAAAGAAAAAGAATTTTTAATGAAAATTCTCTAAATCCAAATGGATTTTGT